CTCGCTGGCACAGAAATGGTCCAAGTCGTACCAAGGTCGAGAGAAGGTTTCCTCGCTCGTTTATTGGCTCGCAAACATTAAAAGAACCGAGCGGCAGACCGATGCATGTGTGCGACTTGAAACGCTACATGTCACGGGAGGAAAACGAGGACTACGGCCAGTCCCCCTCCAGGCAGCAGGTGGCGGGTGAAAACGCTCAACACCGAGTGAGGAGCCTAGAGCCACATTACTTCCTGCGTAACAGGCGGAGACAACTCTGCATGGCAGGCTGTGTTCGACATGTTCTACGCGGATGCAAGGGTTCGTGTGCAACACATTATGCGAGCATTAAGCTTCCCTTTTTGTGTGTCAACTTTAACCGAGCAAATCGATAGCCGAAAGAGACAGAGGTTCCGCCGGGATGGCTCGCACAGGAGACTGCTCCTCCAGCTGAATCACCCCCCCCCCCCCCCCTGAACACCCTCCATGACGGCGTCACAGTACTTTAACAAGCAAGCAACGCCACTTCCACCCTACCCCATCGCTCTCACCACGTGGCCTTTATGCAAGCGGCGCATGATGACCAACCAGCAGCCCAGCCGGGAGAGCCAGTACCACAGTACTACCGGCGCCAGATCCACGGTGGCAGTAACGGCGGCAAAGGCGACAGCAGTGGCGTTGACTGGCCATGACGTAAGTGGGCACGGCAGCGATGGCTACATTAAATGCAGCGACCACAAGGAATTCGACGACGAAAGGCATAAGAGTCTACCCTTTGTTATCTTCCTAGAGCCGACAGTTTCTCTAAGCGACATTTAGGCGTTACATTGCTAACGAAGCAATAAAAAGTTGTTCTGTTGACCTAGCCTGTTTCTTTATTCACCCAAACCTAGTAGCTGCGATGACTTGAGCTACGGGAAGGGAACGTTAATCGTGTGCGGTTAGCTGAACAATTCTTCATTAGATTCGGAAATTTCTGAAATCGGGTTTAGTTACATCTCAGTTTTAACTGAACGACAAAAAAAAAAAATGACTGCAAGAGAAAAACGGCAATTTTCAGTACTTCGGCCATTTACTGTTTATGCTAGTGTAACAACAGTCCCAAACAGGACTTGCATTCTGGCAGCGTGCGCTATTGCTCCCCATGACTCCCATGTCTGCTGCAAGCCTCATTTAAAGAACACAAGTCTTCTGTCTTCTGGTGGTCTGCATGCGCTCTCTTAATGTGAGAGATATGAAAAGCACGACACGAATGAATTTCCAGCTTAACGTGCACCATGCTTCCTTTTTTATTTTTTTCTGATGTTGTGAACCCCAATGGCAGCATTCAGTATTAAAGGAGCACTGACATGAGATTTACTCATGCCAAGATTTTTGCATCAGCGAATAGCTATAGACCCCGTAACAGCGATTCGTGACCTAAAACGCTATTGAGGGATGAATAAAAATCACTTTTATTGATTTATATCAGTGGTATCTACCACTACTCAAAACGGCCGGCAATCCCGCAATTTCTAGCGCTAGGACTATGCCCTCTCTGCTGTTGACTATAAAGGCAAGGCACTCACAACGGCATCCGTCACTGTCAACTCTTCGGAGGACGCAGAGGAGGCTGCCATCGCTTTAGGTCTATCCATCCCCAATATCACTATGACTGTAAGCGACCCGAAAACTGCCATACGCAACTTCAGCGCAGGTCGCATCTCATCAACTGCCCTTTCAATTCTTAAGAAACATCCTCCCACGCAAGACGTTGCTCTCATATGGACGACCGCGCATGCGGGGTTGAGTGGCAATGAGGCGGCTCATACCTGTGCTCGAGGAATGACCGGCCGAGCGCAGACCTCTGATAGCGCCTTAGACCACGCGGCCTTTTTCAGCGCGAGAGATCGTCTTTTGACCTTCCACGATATAACAAATCACTACCGCCTACAGCGCACTATATACCCCCCCTTACATCATGGAGCTTCGCGCTACCATGAAATACTATGGCGCCAGTTACAGACTCATACGTTTATTACCCCATATTTTCGCCATCTTATACACCCTGCGATATATCCCTCCCCTTTGTACATTTTCTGTCAACAAAGAGCTAACCTAGACCATATCATGTGGGGGTGTACTCGAAACCTACCACCCAATTCTCTACACATTAATAGTAAGGAGCAGTGGGAGGCTGCTATGTGCAGCTCGGCGACCGAGGTCCAGGACCAGATCTTGGATTGGGCCAAGAGGGTAACGGAGACCTACGTTGGGTAGGCTCCTCTGACACTCCACCACCGCACCTTTCCCTCTTGGGATGAATAAAGTTTTTCTCCTCCTCTAGGGCTAGGAGCACCAACAGTGACGCTACCTCTCAGTCACCTCCAGATCACGCCACAGATGACCACTTCCCTACAGAAAAAAGTGACGTCAAGCTCAGCTGCTTCGCAAACATTTCGTCTGCTAGGCGGACACATTCAGTCATGCCTTGTTACCTGCATCGCTGTCGTCGCCGTACACAGTGTCGACTCGGGCTCAATACGATAGTCTGGAGCTTGGAATCCCCGCGATTCACGACATCGCAAATTATTTTTGCTTCGATCGACCTTTTGCAGAATAGTGATTCCGAAATGGATGCTATTCTAAGCAGTACTGCAGAGGTGCTAAAGATGCACGCTTCAGCCATGTTCGCTCGTGTGTCTCAGCTATATTGGTGTGTTTTGGCGTGCAACGCATTCAGGTATACGCAGAGGGCTCAATCGCTATCGCGAATGAGTATCAGCGGAGGAATAGAATAAGTTTCCTGCTTGTCAGGTTCTTTTTTGCACCTCCAGATGGCCCCACCTATCCAGCCTCTCGTGGTTAACACGGTACCGTATTTACTCGCACAATCCTCTCACTTTTTTTCGGCGAAAAATCGATGCAGAGTTGAGGGGTGCGAGAATTAGGAGAGAAAAACTTTCCACGAAAACATACAGGGCGAAAAAGAAAACGAAGTGGCCGCAAATCGGGATTTTCACACCAGCAACTAACAGCAAGCTTTGAAAAGTACTAATTAAAAATTACCTCAACAATAAAAGCAGAGGTTTAAAGAAAAGGCAAGATTTACTGAGACACAAAAAGTGCAAGCAAACAGTCAAAAATTAGAATACCATACGCAAAGCTTGTGGGCGTTGCGGGCGTAGCGGTAGTGTTTGTCACTCAACAGGAGCCCTCAAAAGATAAGCGTATGATGTCAGTATTGGGCTGATGGCTATTTAACGGAATCCTCCGCAGTTTCCTTCTGAAGATATGAAGTTTACCATCAATCCCAGTTTAGGCACACGGCAGGCCCAACGCGCCTTGGTGGCTTTCAGCTGCCGTCACCAGTAGCGAACACAAAACTCCTCGACTCCGAAGGGCCTACCGGCGGTCCTCTTGCCATTGTTTAGTGCATGATCAATCACTTTCAACTTGAAAGCAGCTGTGTAGCTTCAGTATCGCTCCATAACGTGACAAGATTGCCGACACAACATACAAAACACGCCGCAACGTGCACTTGCCGCTTTGGCTTGGCTTGGATTGGATTGAATCTTCGTGCAATAATAGTACGCTTGATGCTTAAGAGATGGCGCCAGATGGCACACACTATCATCATGAACGGTCGGAACAAGCAGACCACATTATTGCGGCAATTTTCAAAGGTGTGATAATTACTCGCGAAAAAAAAACTCTTATTTTTGTTGGGCGATGTGGGGGGTGCGAGAATTATGCGAGTGCGAAGATTACACGAGTAAATACGGTATTACCACTTTTACATGGACGCAAAGTCTACAGATGAACTAAAATTCAAGGATATCTGCGTGTTACTTGTTAGCGATAATATCTGACTATACGCTGTTCCACTTTTGATAGCTTGTGGTTGTGTTGATGTGTAACACGTATGTGATATGAAAAGACATGCTCATTGCGCTTTTTCTGTGCTTTGAACTAGACGATTGCAACTCGCAACGATTCCCCGACATGCTGACCGACAACGTTTAATCATGCTCTTTTCTTTTGCCATTCTTCTAAAGGTGGTTTTTATCTTGATAATAACACGAAATCATTCAAACCGGTGCAACGAAGATCAGACGCGACGAGCGAGTGCGTTTCTGCGCTTTGGCGCCAGTTGGCACCATGATAAGAACACTCAAATCGTACAAGTCATCGCTACTAGGGTATCGTCACTTAGGATGGTATTTGTGGATTGTATCACATCGAACACGTAGCCCTAGTGTTGATGTCGCAGGGCAGTCTATATTCTGTTTTTTCTCCTTAGCTTTTCTACGCTGTTTGACATCGAATTAAAATAACTTCCATGCAATGGATGCCGTTCGAGTTTGGCCAAGAAGACCTATGCATACCAAGCGATCGAATGATGGGCACATCTTTATCTTGAAATTTGATGTCAGTGCTCCTTTAGAGAAAATGACCTGTACCTGAGTTCAAATTAAGTAGTTGAACATTCTGTTAAAAACAATTACAAGAATGCAAACATTTAATTTATACAAGTTTGTAAATAATGCAACAGTCATCACTGCGACAAAGCAAAAGCTAATAATAATTGATAAATGTTGGAGTTTCACTTCCCAACACCATGATGTGTCAATGAGAGATGCCAGCGTAGAGCGCTTCAGAAATTTTGACCACCTGGGCCTTAAGCACACGAGCCTCAATCATTTTCACCTCCATCGAAAATGCGGCTGCCGTGGCAGAGATTTGATCTCCTACCTTGCGGGAAAGCAAAAGCTACTAGCCTCAAAAAAATTATACCAAGTACTTGCTGATGTTCCAGCTCTCACATGGGAGCCCCATTCACAAATGAAGCTGGAAATAACAAAACTGTCAAAAACACTCAAGCAGAGTTGAGGCACAGGAGGTGGGAAGTATTGATTGTGTATGTACACAAACCTGATTAGGGTGGCTTTTAGCAAATATTTTTTGTTCTAATGTGCTCCAGTGCACATTGAGCAGGCTTCAAAAACAATATCAGCAGATGCTCAGCAGCACATACTCACCCATTCTTTCGGATCCACCCCCTCAAACATATCCTGCGGAAGGGCGTCATGATGGTTGCTTATCTTGGACTTCATGGAATTTATAATCTGTGCAAAGAACATCCACAGTTAAGCACTGTGTATAATGATAAAATCAGGCAATGTGTGAAAAAAGACACAGCTCTGCCGCAAAGGCGAAGCAATGAATGTGATAGCAACAAATTGGAAGGTCACGTGCAGAATGGCAAGCAGATCGAAACGTGGCCTGCATTTCTCACGCACAAATGACTCGCGAAACGTACTCACAAGTACAGATGAACCCGAATAAGCATCTCAGTTGTATAGGGTCTCCATGTGGGGAGCGCCACCACGCTCTTGGAGTGAACGGACATAGCAGACACAGTGGAAACAAACCGAGCCAAACACATATTTATTTATATACTTTTTGAGCGATGATATCATCAGCCGAATTATTATTAAGACATCCTTACGCAATATTAAACAACACAACCACATGACAAACAAGGCGGTGTCAAGGCCAGCAGACGGCCCGCGGTGCCGTGCACCGGTGTCCCACTGCTAGAGACAACCATTCGCGCCAAACACCACCAGCCAAAAAGAGCTCGCTCAATTCCTCTGTGCTGCCACCAAGGTTTGCCGCCAGGGGTCACTAGTGGGGGCTACCGATCTAACCATGATGATGATAGTGTAACGAATGTAGCAGCCTCACAACAATGATGTTCTATTTACACTGTTTATTAAGGGGCGAACTTGTTTCCAAAGTGAACGACGCACAGCAATCAAGAAGATAGGAAGGTTGGTATTCCTCGTGAGCCTCTGCCTAGAGCACCCTCATTCTCTTCTTCATGCGCGTTGGCTGTTCGGTGGAGTCCCGTGCGCATGCAGGGCCGGCTCGTGCGTTGCAGCTGGCTTCATTGCTCATAGTTGTGCCGTTAGCGTTTCTCTTCGTTAGCGTTGTGCGGAGTAATGGCAATTTCCTGTGGCATTATCCCCCCTCTCAAGAGGCATTGCCCCAATGCTTTCGATGATAATGTATGCAGCGTTTTTGTCCCAGAAGGTTTGAAAGAATGAAATGATTGCACACAAAGCAAGTGAGGTGGCTAGTCTTCGTATCGGTCATAGTATGGTTTCATGCACACAATGTGTGTCACGCTCGGTGGGGTTGCGTCGTTTGGAATGCCCGTGTCCTGTAAGCTTGACTAAATAAACGAGGTCACTGAGTCACTATACTACCTCGTAAGGACCCAAATATAGACAAATGAGTTTTTCAGGCAGGCCTCGTCATCGTACTGGGGTTCATATCTACACTGTCACCAACGTCATACCGTGTTCCACGTCTTCCTCGGTTGTAGCGGTCGGCATCGATTCATAGTTGGTGACGTATTCGGTACCTTGCTAATTGATGGGCCTCTTCTGCTCTCTCTATATAGTCGTCAAGATCAAATGGGTAGTCATCTTGGTCTAAGTAACATAAAGTCCAGTGTTATGGTAACTGCACGACTGTAACTAGTTGAAACGGAGTAATCTTGGTAGTTTCTTGTACGGCGGTGTTATAGGCGAAGGTGACGTATGATGAAATTTCGTCCCACTTTTTGTGTTCGACATCAACATCCACATACATAGATATCATGTCAGCTAGAGTTCTGTTAAGGCGTTCAGTCAGTCCATTGCTTTGAGGGTGATATGCAGTAGTTTGAGGGTGATATGCAGCAGATATCGGTGATTAAAAGAGTCGGAACGCCATGCCGTAGTACTATGTTCTGTACAAAGAATTTGGCCACCTCAGTCGCCATTCCCAGATGCAAGGAGTCTGTTTCAGCATATCTCAATAAATAATCAGCCGCTAGAATGATCCACTTCTTGCAGAGTAAAAACGTCGGGAAAGGTCCAAGGAGGTCCATTCCAGCTTGTTGCAAAGGCGCTTTCAGTGGGTCTATTGGTTGCACAACTGGCTTAGCACGAGGTGTTTTCCGACTTTGGCACTCGCGGCATGTTTTAACATAGTGCTGTATTGAAGACTATAGCTTGGGCCAATAATAATGCAGACTGATTCGTGCAAGCGTTTGAGTGACCCCCAAATGTCCAGACTCATCGTGGCACACTTGTAATATTTCTTGCCGCATAGTTGCATGAACGACAAGCAGGAACTTTTCACAGTTGGGCTGAAAGTTTCTCTTGTAGAGGACATTTCCTCGGAGGCAGAACGATGCGAGGCTTCAAGAAAATATACGAGGTACTTGTACGTCAGCTCCTTCCAGGTGTTTCATGAGCGCGAGCAATTCTTCGTCCGCGTGTTGAAATTCGGCTATCTGAGAAGTCTTGACAACACCTACGAATGGAAAATCCTCTTCTTCTGATAGTGCTGTGTCGGCAGGTGCCCGTGACAAACAGTCAGCATCGGTATGCTCCCTCCCAGATCAGTATACCACTGCTATATCAAATTCGTGCAGCCAGAGGCTCCACCTTCCTAGTTGTCCGGATGGGTCCTTGAGATTGGAGAGCCAGCAAAGCGCATGGTGATCGCTGACAGACTTGTATGGTCTACCATACAAGTACGGCCGAAACTTACTGATGGCCCAGACGACGGCAAGGCATTCTTTCTCTGTGGCCGAATAATTGGTCTCCGCTTTCGCTAGAGTCCTGCTGGCATATGCTAACACCTTTTCTTCACCATTCTGCCACTGTATTAGAATGCATCCAAGGCCGATGTTACTGGCGTCTGTGTGTATTACCGTGTCAACTGTTTCATCGAAATGAGAAAGGATTGGGGGCTCTTGCAACCGTTTTCTTAATTTGTTGAAGGCGCTTTGTTGCTCGGTTTCCGATTGGAAAGATACATCTTCCCTCGTAAGTTTCGTCAAGGGTTCTGCAATCTGCACAAAATTTCCAACAAATTGTCTATAGTAAGCACACAGACCTAGAAATCACTGTACTGACTTTTTGTCTGCTGGCACCGGGAACCTTACCACGGCTGCTGTCTTTTTGGGATCAGGGCGAACACCGCGGGTGCTGACGACGTGCCCAAAAAATCGAAGTTCTTCGAAACTGAATTGGCACTTCTCTGGCATGATGGTTAAATCTGCCGAACGGATTGCTTCTAACACTGTACGCAGGCGCTTGATATGCTCCTCGAATGTAGCGACGAAGATGACCACGTCGTCAAGGTACACTAAGCAACACTGCCACTTCAATCCAGAAAGTACAGTGTCCATTATGCAATGGAACGTTGCAGGCGCACAACGGAGATTAAAAGGAAGAGTCTTAGATTCATAAAATCCGTCCGGGGTAACAAAAGCAGTCTTCTTGTGATCACGTTCATCAACTTCGATCTGCCAGTACTCACTTTTCAAATTTAGTGATGAGAAGAACTTGGCACACCGAAGTCGGTTTAATGTGTCCTCAATACGCGGAAGGGGATAATGGAAGGAGATTGATATGTGGGGTTTAACGTCTCGGAACCACCATATGATTATGAGAGACGCCGTAGTGAGGGCTACGGAAATCGACCACCTGGGGTTCTTTAACGTGCACCCGAATCTGAGCACACGGGCCTACAACATTTCTGCCTCCATCAGAAATCCAGCCGCCGCAGCCGGGATTCGAACCCGCGACCTGCAGGTCAGCAGCCGAGTACCTTAGCCACCGGGGATATACATCCCGCTTAGTCATAGCATTAAATTTCCAGTGGTCGACGCAAAACCTTAGCGTGTTATCCTTCTTCTTGACAAGTACAACAGCAGATGCCCACGGACTGCTAGAGGGCTGAATAGTATCATCTTCAAGCATCTCCCATACTTGATTTTTGATAACTTCCCTTTATTTTGGTGAAACATGGTATGGGTGCTGGCGTACTAGCCTGGTTGTCTCATTCGTTACGATCCTGTGTTTTGTAATGGTCGTGCCTCGTACCTTTGAGCTATTGGAGAAACAGCTGCCAAACTCTTGTACAAGGTTGTACTGCTGTTGATGTTGGATCACTGAAAGGTTAGGATTTAAAGATATTATGTCGCAGACATCAGATATTGGTTTCATATTCGTTGACATTGTTTCAAGGCTGCATACTTCTGTGGCTTCCCAAAACTCGTGAAGAAAAACTATGGCTGTACACTTTGCGATGTGCTAAAATTCGTTCCCGAAATTTGTCAGGAGTATGCTGCGTGCCTGTTTCATAGCTCGATAATCCCTCGTGCCACACAAAAACCTTTTTTCAGGAAAACATACATGTTGCTGTCTGCCACACCTTCGTAGTCACCAAACGTATCATTTCTGACTAGAACCATTACACTGCTCTGCGGTGGTACAGTTACATCATCATCGACGACACGCAGTGAAGTGGTATATCACTCGTCTGCTCGAACTGCCATTATAGCTTGTCCCGTCGAAAATGATACGCTGGACCTCTGCAAATTAATAATGGCACCATTTGCTTGCAGAAAGTCTATTCCGAGTGTAACTTCTCTCGAACATACGGGCAAGACAAGAAAGTCACCAACGTAAGTGAGACCTCGTATCTCAACTCTTGCGGCGCATCTGCCAGGAGGCGTAATTAGGTGACCGCCTGCCGTACATACTAAAGGTCCACTCCATTTGGTCAGAACTTTCCTGAGGCACTTCGCTAAATCGCAGCTTATCACAGAGTAATTCGCACGGCGAACAGCTCTTGTTTTACCCAATGCATGACATGATCCACCTTCTTCCCTTTAGTCATGTTGTGATCAGCTCACTTGAACAGGCGGGACATGTCTTCTATGTACATAGCGACAGTCTCGTTTGTGCGTTGATTTCGTGCACGAAGAGCTGCTTCTGCCTTTTCCCAGCGATCATTGTTGCCAAACGTACACAGTAGCCGCTGCCGGAACTCTTCCCAGGACGTCAGATATGCGTCGTGGTTTTCGTACCACACTCGCGCGGCGTTTTCCAAAGAGACGTAGACGTTGTGCAACTTGCCTGCTTTGTTTTATTGGTTTATGTTCTCCTCCCTCTTGGAATGATCCAATCAGTCTTCGGCGTCCTCAAACGGGTCTTCATAGAACATCTTCGGTATGACGGGTTGGCTGACAATGAGCTGTGATGGTGCAACTTGGCTA